TTTTACAATTTTGTATTTATATTGTATTATAAATTTAGGAAAACACATTAAAAGAACACTGCTGGAACCCGCCATAGAAAATTTTTCTTTGTATGAGATGTCCCATCTATGTACTTTATAATCTTTGGTTGAAGGTACCGTTTCAGCCGTATTGGTGGGTTCTTGCGGTTGGTTGGTGATGGTCTGAGCCATATTTTTCATGAGCCATGGCTGGTAGGAAATAATTTGTATTTATGTCTTTAAATGAACGAAAGTGTTGCAAGAACCTAATTATTTTTATAATCGATAACCTCGTAAAACTTTGGCGGTCCATCTTCTGAATAATTGGACATCTTCCAGAAAAGTTTTCAATGCTTTGAATACAAGGATTGAGCCATGGCTATTAAGTATTCGGTTGGAAAAGTGTCTGCATCAGACAAAAGGTATATTCCAAGTCCGTATACTTTTCGAGCCACAACAGGGAAATAGGTTAGAGAGGATATTCTGTTGAAAAGGCGCCTGCATCAGACAAAGATATTTTCCAAATCAGATCTATCTCTTAACCACAACGGAGAACACCACAGGAAAATTTTAAGAGATGACTGCGGCAATTCAATTATGCTTAAACTTTACCATCCCTGCCTAAACACCGGAACTAGGTTAAGCCGCGTTGACTCCGGAGTTATATTTTAAAGATTTAGAAAGACGTTAACGCATCCAATTAAAGACGCATCCAGGTAGTCGAAGCTTAACCACAGTATCTAGTTATCGGAGTAAAACACTTGGCCTTAAAGTCTATGAGAATTTCTTGGATCCGAAGTGGCATCCGAAACTAATTAATACGTACGAGGGTATATGTCGGATGGAATGACAAAGGTATCTTAATTTTATTTTCGTGGGCAGCATTTAACGGCTTCCCCATGTTGGGTACCATTCTAAATAATATTGTAACATGTAACCATGTAAGCAGATGGTAGTGTAGCTGCAAGGAGGTTGCACGCGCTGGTTCCGGCTTTTGGTCGGTAGAAGGGAGTGGATCCCTAGGGTCCTTGTGCTACTCGCTCGCAGTTATGAATTGATTATTTAAAAGAAATTTGCGTGCGGGGGGGCTAGTACGTATTGAAGGAAATAGCGGGTAGTGGGACAAAAAGGATTCTTGCATTGCTTTCGACATTCAAAGTAATTAAGGCCGTTGTCACTGTGCTGGTGGAGTTGCAGCAGATGACGTAAATGTAAGATGACGGCTGGGCAGATGTTTTGCCACAGCCGTTGCCCACCCTTCCATGATCACCAGTTCCGCGAAATAATTATTGGTGATCCCAAAGAAATCGGCTGTCTAATTTCACCTTTATTTGATCTTTTTTTCAGTTTCATCCTTTATGACTCCCACAGATAATAGATTAGCAATTCATTTTTAAACGTTATAAATGTATTCATGGTTATATAATTAAATGAATTTAGTATATATGTTATAATCGAAAAAAAATTATCTTAGAATTTATATCTCTATTATTCGGCATAAGAAATAATAATATATATGGCTATATAAAAATAATATTAAGAACCATGTTTATTATGAGAATCTTGTCTTCCATAACGGTACTCTCTAATATTATTTCCTAAATTTATTTCTTAAAATGTCTCAAAGTAACTTATTTATATTTATTTCAAATTTGATAGTAAGGGATTTTGATTAACATTAGAAATGTTTTTAATTTTGAAACACAGCAAAAGCATTAAAAATAATATTCCAAGATTCCATTAATTTTTATTAAATATTAATTAATTAATTTAAGATCAAAAATAAATTCATTTTTATTTTTTTATGTAATTGCGGAAGGCCATAATTTAAATTGGGGAATATATAAAAAAAGGAATATATATATATAATCAACAAATTTAATTATTATATATATATTATATATATATATAATTATATTATATTATATTTATGATTATTTATATAATCAAGTGTACCATTGTTCTGTATTTAATCGCAAACCGCATGGTTCTATTTTAACGTTAGGGAAATAAAAATCTTTCCTGTAAAGCTTTTGGTACACTGAGAAAAATCGGCATAACCACAACAATTTTGAATTTGGAATAATGTGTTTTTTTCTTTTAATTCACTTACATTGAGTTAATTTTCCACGTCCAAAAGATCTGTTGTTGGGTTAGGCGATGAATCTATAAAATTTTGGGTTTAAAGGTTTTTCTTATGAATGTTTATATGTATCCACCAAACTAATGAATTTTTCTAATTCTAATTTTCTAATTTAATTCTTACTAATAAATTAAGGGAACTGGAAACGTTATTTTCTTACATTATTAACTCCAAGCTCATAAATAATAATTACTTCCAAAAAAATAAAAAACTAAATCAAATTAATAGTTCCAGAAACCAAAATTGGACAGGCATAACTGTTTTGGGGCGATAAGTGACGTCATTGGATGATGAGAATAATTCGGGTGCATATGCTGGCCATCGGCGGGTTTTAGTTAATGAGGGAAAATTATTGGCACATGCACCTTACATCCAAAGAAAATTTCATTTCTCGCACCAATTTTAATTAATCCATCTGATCCCGCGGTGTGGTGCTGCGAGCCCTTCTTAGGGGTAGAACTGGCTAGTTGGGGACTTATAAACTTATTCGCAATGTAAGAAAAATAAAAATGGGTTCTTATTTGGTGCCAATTCGACCTAAAAACTAGACAGGAAAGCTAACTTCGGGATATATATCGCAAACATCGGATATAGTTGGCCGATCCTTATGAGTCAATGATAATATAACCCAATTTATTTTAATATAAAATCTAAAAAAAGTCCCAAACTTCTATCTTCAAAAATACCAAAGTTGGTACCAAGTTCCAGCTTTCTATCTTCAAAAACACAAAAGTTGGGTCAATTCTGATCGTTCAGTTATATGGTAGCTATAGGATATAGTCGGCCGATCCTTATGAAATTGGGTAGGTTAGATCAACGGATCAAAAGTAGAACCTGTACCAAATTCCTGCTTTTTATCTTCAAAAACACGAAAGTTGGGTCATTTCCGATCGTTCAGTTATATGGCAGCTATAGGTTATACACTCAAAATAAAATTAACCCTAAGATTGAGAAATTCGCCCTATTTTTGTCTTCAACGGCACCGCACCATAAAATTTAGGGTAAATTTTTCTAAAATTAATGGCGTATACTTTCTAAAATCTAAGGCAAATTGCCCTTAAAATAAGAAAAAAATGTCTAAAAAATAGAAAACAATTTCTTAAATTTAGGGTTTGTTTTTCTAGGTTTTAGAAAGTACTTTTCTAAAACTAAGGAAAAATGTCTTGATTTCATGGCGATTTTTTTCTAAGCCCCAGGGCAAGGCGCCCTAAAATTAGGAAAACCCTTTCTACAATATATACAAATATTTCTTAAATTAAAGGTGACCTTTTCTAAATTCTAGAAATTTTATTTCTACATTTTACATTACATTTTACATCATACACTTACATATTTATACCCTTGCAGAGGGTATTATAATTTTGGTCAAAAGTGTGCAACGCAGTGAAGGAGACATCTCCGACCCTATAAAGTATATATATTCTTGATCAGGATCACCTCCTGAGTTGATATGAGCATGTCCGTCTGTCCGTCTGTCTGTCTGTTTTTACGCGAACTAGTCTCTCAGTTTTAAAGCTAGCGACTTGAAACTTTGCACACACCCTTCTTTCCTTTGCACGCAGTATATAAGTCGGAACGGCCCGGATCGGCCGACTATATCCTATAGCTGCCATATAACTGATTGATCGGAAATGGTGTAACTTCGGTGTTTTTAGAGTTAGAGAGTTTAAATTTTACACGAGCGCTATTTTTGGCAAAATAATACGACATGCCAAATTTCGTAAGGATCGGCCGACTATATCTTATAGCTGTCATATAACTGAACGATCGGAAATGACCCAACTTTCGTGTTTTTGAAGATAGAAAGCTGGAACTTGGTACAGATTATATTCTTGGTCAGTTAATCCGACCTACCAAATTTCATAACGATCGTCCGACTATATCTTATAGCTGCCATATAACTGAGCGATCGGAAATGGTTTTTGGTAGAAATACCAACTTTGGTACTTTTGAAGATAGAAGCTTGAGACTTTTTTTAGATTCTGTATTGTAATAAATTAGATTATATATTCATATTCCCAAAGGATCGGCCAACTATATCCGATGTTTGCGACATATATCCGGTTTAAACTGCAAGGGTATATAAACTTCGGCTCCGCCCGAAGTTAGCTTTCCTTTCTTGTTTTACATTAATTTTACATTTAAATTTGTTTTCTTTGATAGCTCTCTTCAGTTCTTACTTTCACATAAGACTTTATTTATGGTATATAAAAAATTTGACCCTCGAATCTTGAATTGTATACTTGACTTTTAAATTTCCAGTAGCACCACGTTTTCCTCTTTTGATGGGGACTATAATAGCGTGAATCATGTGCGTCCTTTTTATCTGTGGAAAATAACGTCAATTAATATTGCGATATAAATATATCAATTTACTATTTAATCGTGTATGTTTTAAAACATGTTTTAAGGTAGTGTAATAATTGCCTTTTTACCTTCGCTTTGTTGAGGGAATGTTTTTAGTAAGATAAAACTCTGGACTTCCTTTTAAAGAAATGAGAGAAAAAATTGCCACAATCGAAGAATTTATTCAACAAATGCATTAAATAAAACAAAATTAATGTATAAAAAATATTACCAATTTGTCTTCACAATTCTGCTTAAAAATGGGCGATTCCTCCATAAGCTAAGTGTAGCTACACTTGTATCGTCCTAGAAAAAGAAACTTTTGCGCCACTCAAAAGTAAGATCAAATTTTGCGTTGACCTCTTCACAAGGCTAAGCTTCACCTCTTCACTATTGAACATCAGCAATATTACCTGAAAATGTATTTGGAAAATTATTTTCAACCTTTGAAGAGGGGCATAATTTACCAGTTGATAACTTTTTCTCCTTAGCCTTCAAATTATATATTTTGCCATATACAGCAGACCTTCTGGCTTTTTTTCGATGTTAAGATCTATCATGTCTTTCCACAATTAGCTCTAGATTAATTAAATTAGTTATTAAATTAAATTAATTATTAAATTAGTAACGTTTTTAGTAACTTACCAGCGAAAAAAAAGAAAAGGCTTCTCAGTTTATCTTTTTCAGCAAGGAATCCATTAGCGCTTTTAAAATAAACATTTTAATAAACTTGTAATGTCAACATCTTAGAGATGGAAGACTCCGTTATTTATGTGATATTTGATAGTTCAAATATCGGTACATTATTTCTTAACATGATTTTTTGTATTTAACATGTTAAAACTTTATACATAAAATATAATATAGATCAGTCTGCATTTATCTGCCCGTGCTCTGCCACACACACAGTATAAGTGTGTGAAACGTCATGACGCGTCATGCTCAGAGCCTACTTTCTGCTTTCTGCTATACTAATACTAATGCGTTAAAATCATATCAATGTATTGGGTGCCGACCACGGACAAGATAAAATATAAAAAAAATTCTATATTAAACAAAATATTTCTTTTTCCTAGGGTTACCTAAATTAAAGGGTAACACTGTGCATTTTTAGAAAGGAATTTCTATATTGTAGAAACAGTTTTCTATTTTTTAGAGTTAGTATCTTTTATGGTGAGCCTTTCTATTATTAAGAAAATATTTACTGAAAATAAGCATTATTTGCCTTAAATCTAGAAAAATTTTCTTGATTTTAGGGCGATTTCACTTTATGGCGACTATTTCTATATTAGAGAAAAACTTCATTGATTTAAGAAATTTTTCTTGTTTTCAGAAAAATTTTTCTAGAAACTAGAAACTTTTTCTTGTATTTAGAAAAAAATTAAGTTTTATGGCGAATTTCTAAATTTAAGGGTAAATTTTATTTTGAGTCTAGTTGGCCGATCCTTATGAAACTTGGCATGTCGTAATGTTTTGCCAAAAATAGCTCGTGTAAGATTTGAACTCTCTAGCTCTAAAAAAGTTATACCATTTCCGATGAATCAGTTATATGGCAGCTATAGGATATAGTTCCCGGTCGTTCCGACTTATATACTGCGTGCAAAGGATAGACGGGTGAGTGTGAAGTTTCAAGCCGATAGCTTTAAAACTGAGAGACTAGTTCGCGTAGAAACAGACAGATAGACGGACAGACGGACATGCTCATATCAAATCAGGAGGTGATCCTGATCAAGAATATACATACTTTATAGGGTCGGATATGTCTCCTTCACTGCGTTGCACACTTTTGGACAAAATTTTAATACCCTCTTCAAGGGTATAACAATAAGTCGAATTAAAAAAAAAAACACGTGAGGCCGAAAACAAGGGATTTATTTACCTTGAATTGGCACCACAAATAATTTAATTCACTTTTAATGCACTGAGCGCTGATCACTTCCCTCGGCGTTTAAGTTTTGGGAAACTTATGTGTAAATTTTTCACCACGTGTTTTTTTTTCCGGGGGTTGAATATATATACTTGAGTCTTAGCGGTGCGCTTATCTTAGCAGCCATAAGAGAAAAAGAACTTAGCCGCTGCATATTCTATTCTTAGACCGATACTTAAATGATAAAATCTAGGTAGATAATTTATTATCAATAGATAAGGAACTTTAAGCTTATCCAAGCTTTTTTTTGCTATTTTTTCTATTCCAAGCTGAACTAAATGGGTTTTACTTTTAGGCGTTTGGTTTTTTTTTTTTTTTTTTAAGTTACAGCAAGCGCATTTTATTTCCGAAAAACTTTGGAGGTCATGATTGACATGAGAGGGGTTCGAACCCACGACCCCACGCTTAGCGTGCAGCTACACTACCCAATAGGATATGGGGGCCCTTTTATCATTAACTTAAGATAAATTTTTTAAATTAAAAAAAAAAAAATTCTGTTTTGTTAGTTCGTTAGTTTGTTAGTTTTGTTGTTTATTGAAAATATTTCATTCTAGTACGGGACAGAGCCATAAGCTTACAAAACAATAATCTATTCTAATTTTTTGTTTCGGATGACTCTAGCAGTTTAGATGATTTGTCATTATATTGAAGTTGTCGACAATTTGAAGTATAGTTTATAGTTGAATTGTATTTTGTAGTTGTTAGTCTCTAAATTTACTCTAAGATAGCTTAGGGCGGAGCGGGAGCGAAAGCTCATATTCGCTTTTGTGCGAATTCGCCCCGCTTCGCCGCAATAGATAAGTTAAGCTTAAAATAAGAGAAAAAATAATCGAAATTATAACGTTGAAGAGTCAAGATCATTTCTTTCGTTCTCGTTTTTCGCATTTTTATTATTTATTTTTTTTCGCATTATTTTCAAAAGTGTGAAATAAAATAATCTCGTTTAACATTTTGGCGCCCCGGGTGAACTATAGTGCGAAATATTTCAAAAAAAAACATAAATAAAAGTGACAGTGACACTGTGTCATACATACACAAACTAAAATTCAAAGAGCTGCTCGCGACGCGTCCGTGAAGTGCAGAATAAAAAACAAAATTCACCGCGTCGTGAAACCGCCTCAAGCCTCCAGGATCATCACCGCAGGATCATCGCCACTAGGAAAACTATTTATCTACCACCTGCATTGACTGCACAAGGAAAGTGGCAGCGGGGAAGGATCACAAGGCAGAACCGCAGGTATTTGTGCAAAAAATTGAAAGTTGAGAAAAGACAAATTAAATCTTCGTCTTGTGCTGGAATATAGCACCCTTCTTTCAATTCTTGGCGCATACGTACTTGAAATTAGTAGAGCTAAAAATTTGAATAGTTTAGTTAAAATAATTATAAAACTGCCTGTGGCAGTTGATAAAATTGATAAAAAAAAAAAAAACATAAATAAATATCCACATCACTGTCGCCCCCCTCTTTTACTCCTCGTTAATTTTTCGCCAAACAAATAAGTTAAATTTAGTGCAGCCAAACATTTATTTATATACAAATATATGTACATAGATAATACATATTTACGTGCATAAATAATATGGCGTACATACAAATATATGCAGCGGTAAAATTTTCGTTTTCGCTCCAACCTTTGTCCGCTACTATAAGTTATCCAGGCCACTTCCCACTTATGAATCTTATAACCAATATTTTCAAGCTCTGCATTTGCTTTCGGCTTTGTCTTTGGCTCTGAGGTCCGATCTCGGTTCCCCATAAACAAATCAAAATCAAATCAAAAGTAAACATCGGTTCCCTCCGAAGCCCAATCAATTACGCCTTTTGCGTTTCCAGTACCGACCAAATTGCATCGATCAGCTTAATCGAATTTCACAATAAGATGCGACAGTTTCATCTTAAGCCTCTAATCTAAACACAACTGGTGGCCGAGGTTCTTTGGATCAGATTTAGAATTAAGAAGTCAGTCCCTTTTTGACCGAGACCGCGAACGGTTGACAAAAAATGTTTAAGAGAAATCAGAAGTGTCTTGTTATAATTACGTTTAATAAATAAAGGTTTAACACCAAGTTGTATAATTAAAAAATAAAATTTACATTTTTTTAATTCACCGAACTACAAAACAATTTAACTGGCGCCTAACGTGGGGCCGCGTCACATAAAGCTCCAAAAAACTTGTTTCATAAAAAATAAGTTAAGCATAAACGGAACTCGCACCGTCAACAACTCAACATTTTTAGTGGAAAAATTAAAACATCCACCAAACGACACTACCAAGTGACAGTGATCGTTAACAACAAAGTAAATGGAAATTAATTAATGAAATAATCTATAAACAGTGAATTAAAACAAAGGTGGACCGAAATTTTAAACCAAACAATTACAAGAACACCAAACTAAAAAAATCAACGCACAAAAAAAAAAAACAAACAAGAACAACAAAACAAATAAAACGACAACTCGCTCCAACAAGAAAAACCAAGGAAGGAAGAGAGGACATTCTCTATCCATTAATCAACTGTATTCAGGAAGGACGATCAACCACCAACCACACTGAAGGTAGACCCCAACGGGACAATATCGTGAGGAATTAATTTAAAATAATAAAAAATTAAAGATTATTATTTAAGATCAGTGAATTTGAGAAAAATAATATAAGATTTATATATTGCAAAAAGTAAGATTCGCGATTTAACAAACAATATAAAAAATAAATCTGGAAGATTTGATAAATAGCTTTTGTGAATTAAATCTAACAATGGCAACCGGAGGCTCAGCACCAAATTTTTCTGCAGGTAGTGTAGCCACAGCCGGCAGTTTAACAGTAGAATTGATAAACAGATTAATAAACGCTCAATTGAATGAAGTTAGCAGGAAAGTAGAATGTTTAGAAGCTATAAAATGCGATACAACACTTGAAGTGGTAAAATCCTTACCAAATTTCACAGGGGAACCAACTCAATATGTAGGTTGGAGGGAAACTGCAGTAACTGTAATAAGTCTCTATAAAATTGAAAGTGAACAATATTTTATCGCCCTAACAATTTTACGAAATAAAATTATGGGAGCTGCCCATGATGCTTTTATCAATCATGGCACAGTTTTAAACTTTAAAGCAATCTTATCCCGATTGGACTTTATATATAGTGACAAACGACCAATACATGTTCTCGAGTCAGAACTAAGTATCCTCAGGCAAGGACGAATGACAATTACTGAGTACTACAACGAAGTCAATAAAAAAATGACCTTACTAATAAACAAAACCATAATGACATACGGAAAAGACAGTGTAATTACCAAAGAAACAAACAATTCAATAAGGAGAAATGCTCTACGAGTATTTATATCCGGACTTAATGGATCTATTTCAGAAACTCTTTTCTCATTAAATCCACCAGATTTGCCCAATGCTTTGGCAAAGGTTCAAGAATTAGAATCAAACAACTTCCGTGCTAAATTCGCAAATAGGTTTAATGGATTTAAAAATGAAAGAAAATATCGGGGAAAAAACTTACGATTTGATCAAATGGCAAAATAATAATACCACTAAAATGGGAAATAATGTTAATCATAACCAAAATTACAATTGGCCACAAAAGGGAAATTTTTGGCAAAATAATAATCAAAATAATTATCATAAGCAGCAAGCTATCGAGCCAATGGATGTTGATTCACCGATTCAACTCCAGAATAAATCTAATAACAATCGGCAACCGAGCCAAAATTGGCAGGCAAATAGTAACCAAGGAAGATATA